AGGCATAACTTTCGACACCAAGACCTCTGCATCTCTTGAAGTCCAATTGAGAGCCATTAATACAGTGAAAGTATTTACTAAAGTTTTCCGATTTATTGAACAGGATATCTAACTTAAAATGCAGTCATCATCCTCCCACTTTAAGTTTATGATCTAGTTGGTTTATGAGGGCTAACTCTTCTGTGACAGTTGGATTCTTTTATTTGACTGCTTTTCACATCAAGAACACTGAATTTTATTAGGGCAGGTGTGGCATAGGACTTTTTTTTTTTTTTTTTTTTTTTTTTTTCTCCAGAAACTCTGTTAATGAGTCAGATTTTTTGCCTTTTATCATTCAGATGTAGCTTACTCATTTTTCTGCCGTTCTACATAAAACATTCCTCTCCAAATTCAGAGAACCTTAATAAATTTATATTTTGATACATTTATTTTAAAGTGAGTTTACAAAATTGGAAAATGATACATGAATGCTAATAATGGCTGCATTTCACTGTAAAATATTTCCATGGAAATGTTTTAAAGAACTTTCTGTTCAGAAGGTTTCCCAGTAGGTTAAATTCTGGGTTTAAAGATAAGATTCCAATCAAAATTAATAAGGCTTACTACTAGGTTTATAATATACAATTGCATCTTAATTAGGAGACTGGTTTAAAATACAAATACCTTTTGTTTTCTGTTATGACAAGCACTTTGTAGTGACTTAACATCTCACTCAAAACAGTGTGTGCTACATAAGAAGTGCTTTGCCTGTTCACGCCATCAGTTCTGAATCAGTGTCTCTTTTCTAAGTATATCTTTGTTTTGTCTTAGTGGAGCCTCCAATCTATGAAAATGCAAGGGGAAAGGTTTCTGAATGAAAATTGGATTTATCCTTATATAAGGTGCTAATAGATGTTGTCCTGGTTTCAGCACCTTACATGGTAGGAATTTAGTCTAGAGGTATCTTTGATTCTGTCTTCTGTGCTTTATTTTAAGATTCTTCTTCCATTATTCTCCTGAAGCTCAGTTCCCAGAATCTGGTCAGACAGTTAACTGGCTAAAGGAGGACTTCCTGCCATGTGTTAAATGGGCATATAGGATCATTGGCATAATTCAGGTTGAGAGGGATCTCATAAGGTCATCAACTCCGATCTCTGTATCGCTTATATTGGGCAGTTGCTGATTTTTCTGGAATGTCACTTAAATGAGTTGCAAAAACAGGTAATGAACATCTTATGGTTTTAAATGGGGAAAAAAAAAAAAGATCACCACTAAAATACAAGTGTTTTGATAATCTTTCATCAAATAAGTTTAATTATTTTGCTTGAAAACAGTATCTCAGGTTGTTGAAAGGAAGGGAGAGGACCCCCTAATATCTTATATTATCAGAGAACTTCTCAGATGTAATCTTTGGGAACCAGTTGAACCAAAGGTGTTTAGTTTTGCAGTGGGACTGTATTTAGAACTACCACAATATTGGATAATAACAATTTTAATCTATAATCAATCTATAATATTATTATCTATAATAATCTGTTGTGGTTTAACCTGGCAGGCAGCTAAACATCACATAGCCATTCTCTCACTCCGTGCAGTGGGATGGGGGAATCAGAAAAAAGGTAAAACTATGGGTTGAAATAAAGGACAGAAGAGGAAGGGAAGGTAATGATAAAAGAATATACAAAATAAGTGATGCACAGTGCAGTTGCTTACCACCCACTGACTGATGCCCAGCCAGGTCCCAAGCAGCTTCTATGCCCTCCTGGCCAACTCTCCCCAGTTTTTGTTCAGTGTGGCATCATATGGTATGGAATAGCCCTTTGGCCAGTTTGGGTCAGCTCTTCTGGCTGTGCCCCTCCCAGCTTCTTGTGCACCTGGCAGAGCATGGGAGGCTGAAAAGTCCTTGACTTAGTGTAAGCACTGCTTAGCAACAACTAAAACATCAGTGAGTTATGGACATTGTTCTCATCCTAAATCCAAAACACAGCACTATGCCAGCTACTAGGAAGAAAATTAACTCTCTCCCAGCCAAAACCAGGACACCATCGCTATTGGCCTCTTTTTAAAGCTAAATCCACTTCTAATTACTCGAATATCATTATGCCCACGAAACTGAAAGGCGACTTGAGCTATAAAGTTGCAAAGTGATGTTTCTATTCTCTTCCTTTTCTGAACATCTCTAAATTTATAAGATTCCTCATCTATAACATTTATCTACCTTTTATTTTGGTGAGGCTGTATGTGTGATTTCCAGCTTCACTTTGCAACGTTTTGTTCCATTTTCTTTGTAAAACTCTAGTGAATTTAATTTCCCTTCTCTTTCTTTCACCCCCAGTCATGGTCTAAGGAAATTTTTCTCCTGTCGAGGAATTGCAATAGCTGTTGACTACTTTTGGAAACGTGGCCACAGAAATATTACTGTATTCGTTCCACAGTGGAGAACAAAACGCGATCCTAACATTACAGGTGAGGGAAATAGTTTCCTAATGTTTTCTTTACTAAACTGAATTGTAACTGTTTCTTCAAATACTTCTGTGAAGACTGAATGGAGAAGGAATGCTTCATAAAACATTAAGCAGGAGCAGTCTGGCTGCTCAGCATGAGTAACTGGGTTTCTCTATACAGTGTGAGGCACTCTGAAATGCTTCTTAGGCTAAGCTGATGTGCCATAAGCAGAGGTCTTTTTGTTTGGTTTGGGTGGTGTTTTCTCTTTAGTTTCTAGTTTTAACCCCTTCCTCACCATTTGTATAGTATTAGCAATTCTTCAGCTATGAATATGTCATTTCTGTACATTACTAGGTACAAAAATAGCCCATCTTCTCTGCTAATTATATCTCAGACTAATTGTCAAATCTATAAATAGCTTAGAAGAAACCTTCTGTTTTTAAGAACAGTTGTTTCATGTTCTAACAGAGCAGGATTTCTTAACACAACTCCAAGATGTTGGAATATTGTCTTTAACCCCTGCAAGGATGGTTTTAGGAGCAAGGATTGCTGCTCATGACGACAGGTATGGAATATACATAGTTTTAAAGTCTTTTTGAACATCTGACTAATGGTTGTAAAAGCTTAATACTTCATAAGCAGTAGTATTAGCTAGTTCTTCAAACTGTGTAGATGGAGAACTATGCACCTAGCTTAAGACTGAGCTCATTAAGTTATATTACTCTCCTGAGAAACATTTTTATATATAATTGTTGAATAATATTGTACATACTGTTTTCAGAAATTCATGGAAAATGGCAAGTTTTCATGGCAATTTTAACAAAAAAAGAAAGTTAATACATACCAAATGTCATCACTTGCATTGAGGAAGAAATTAGTCTTTTGGTAATGTTTTTGTGCTTTCCTGATCATCAGTCTGTCCCTGAATTGTCTTTTATTGGGGAGTGCTAGCATAAATCTGATATGGTACTATTTTGTTCCTTTTTTTTTTCTTGATTCCATTGTGGCATACAGACATAGATGTGTATTTGTAACAACCTGTAGGCTAGTAAATTTCCAAGTTAATTTAAGCACCAAAGTTCAACTTCAAAATGTGGGGATCATCTTTCAGTGAACAACAGTAAGCTTTAGGGGTTTTTGTTGGGTGTTGGGGGGGGGTTTCTAGTGCTTATATTGCTATTGCCAAATTTTCCCAGTCTTGAGAGACAGTTAAAAGTGCATGCTGCTTAAGTTTTTTTCCACAACTAGCTTTCCTAATTCTGCATGGATGAGCAGTTTGCAGCTTTCAGATTGTGTTTTGCAGCTAGCTACAGTTTGCTAGATTTCGGCTTCTTCCTTCCTACTAATACTAATCATTCATACTTTATTTTTCTGACTACAAATTTGTCAGGTTTTTGCATCATAGGCATGCTTGTTTTTGTTACATTGCTTAGTCATGTACCTGATTGCAGAACTTGATACACAAAAGATAATATAGAGTGCCCTTAATTTATCTTCCTTATTAAAAATATTAAAGAGATCAGAGTTGCTATAATAATGTAGCAAAAAAAATGTAGAAGGCAGCCAAGTTGGAGTTTTTTACACACTAATATTTTATATACACCCAGCATTTAATATAAAATGCTGTGTAGGTACAGTATTTGCAGTTGAGATTACTGTGGAAATGAGTATTGTGTCAAAAGTGTACACATTTCTTTAAAAGAACACCATCCATTATCTCATTCCTAAATTAGTTTCAAATGGGAAAAAGCCTGTTTTCAGACAGGTAAAAAAAAATCATGGGATTTTCTTAATAAATTAGTGGTTACCTTTTGTCATAGTTTATTTTACAACGGAATGGTAGCAGCACTTTTTGTCAACAATTGTTGAAAGAGCAAACGAGTAACATGCATAACACTATCTTGCAGGACATGGACATTAATGCTAAGCAAAAAATTATATGGAAATAGGTTTGTGTTGGAATGTGTAATAAATACTGTACTCTGTTGTAACGCAAACCATTTACCTCTACAAATATTTCAGAATCTGATAATCCCTTGAGTTTTGAGGGGCAGTTGCTTGCGGGTTTTTTTAACGTGGAAAAAAGCCTCCCATTAAGACTCCGCTGCACTAAATAAATGTGTGCTACCTAAAATGTTTAAAGTTACATGGTGGGTCAAAACAATAATTTCCTGGTAATCAAAGGGCTTGTTTTCATGCAAATAGATTACTCTTGGATGGTAAAATGCTTAGTTTCCTAGATCTTTTGACAATTTTCATTAAAGCAGACTATCTCAACAGTCTTTGAAATGAATTTTACAGGTTTTTATTACACCTTGCTGATAAAACTGGTGGTGTTATTGTGACTAATGATAACTTCAGAGAATTTGTGACAGAATCACTTGCCTGGAGAGAAATTATTCAAAAAAGGTAATTACTCAATTTCTATGAAAGCTTAAAAAGATGTCTGTCCTTACAGTTGTAGACACTCTACCTTCATGTGGGATTTTTTATTTTTAATTAATCTGTCATTCAATTCTGGTAGAGCCCAACAAAGTACTGTGTTTGTTTCACCACTGTGATTCATGGCTTTGTAATTGTGTGTTGAGTAGTTTAATGTTCCTATTATTCATATATTCTATAATGCAAGTCTGTTAATTGCTCACATAAATAGGAGCATGGTGTAGCAGCCAAGCTATATCACTTCTGAAGCTCGATGTTAGATTCTGAGTATACGGTTTGTGGGCCATTCTACAGGCTTTCTTGTTTTACATTTCATTTCTTCAAGGAAACATGATAGCTGATGGAGACATACAGTGTCACTTTTAAGGTTTCAGAATCAATCATGCTTTGCTGTAGTACAATAAATCAGCATAGCTAAACAAAATAATGAACACTTGCAACATATCCCCATAGCCATTTCCCTGCAATTGTTGAGTGTCCTTTGGGTTTAGATGAGTTCACTTAGCTATCAAATATCCTTGCTTCAGTGTGTGGATTCTCTGTGAATTACAATTTCTCCTGTGCAACTGCTTTATTTTTTTAGTTTGTTTGGGTTTTTCTTTTGTTTTGTTTATCCTCTCCAGTTAAATAAGGTATGATCCTCTATTGCCCAAATTTCCCACTAATCCCTCAGAGTCTCCCTGACATCTTCTAAGGGTACATCTACTGCAGTGACTGGGGTCTGTATAGGTCTAATGAAATAAATAATTGAAAACTGTCTTGGATTCTCCCAGTATAGTTGGGAGAACATGGGATTGATGTTGACTAGTCATGTAGATATTTACACTATTTCTTGAGTGAATTCTACCCAAGTCAGGTTCTCCTGCAGAACTTTAGCAAGAATACTTAACACGTCATTCTGAGTCTGTGGTTTTTTAAGAGCTTGTGTTAACATCTGCTATTAGTTTTACTTCTGGGGAAATTCCACTATATATATTCCCTCCTTGCAGACAAATTTTAGTTGAACTGGTTTCCTTTAGTGCAGATTACCCTCTGTCCCAGAATGATTTCAGAAAAAAAGTTGCTTTGTGTCTTAACTGTAAACAGATAATGTTATATTTGCTAGTTGTGTGGCTTTCTGATAACATATGCTTTTTAGCTATGTGATTGAAGATCCTTACAAGGAAGGGGAGTTTGAACAATCAGAAAATCTTTTCTAATTACCTAGAAAATTCCACCTTGGTCTCTTTGCAAAAATTTGCAGTCATCCAACACTTGCTAGGAAAAAAAAAAAAACCCACAAAACAAAACCGAAACCTCAGTGTTCTGCAGTGCAATGGGAACCGTTCACATAATCTTCCATTAAATTATTTTGGCAGTGAATGCTGGTTGTATCTAAAATGGGTTACTAGTTAAGTTTCAGTGACTCCTGATGTGGTATGAAGTGTCTGCTCTAAGGCAACTTGTCCTGTGCTACAGAGGTTAAGGGCAGCAAGGGTGTAATACCTTCTTAGTAAATAATACTGAAAGAACTGTCTTGCAGGTTGCTCCAATACACTTTTGCTGGTGACATATTTATGGTTCCTGATGATCCATTGGGAAGAAATGGACCTAGATTAGATGACTTCCTTCGAAGTGAAAGCTGTTCTAGGTACAAGCACTGTTTTCACCATTGTTTCAGACAGTTAACATTTCAAACATGAAATAAACTGTTTTCCTGGTTCACTTGAACGCTTCTTTAGATCTATATAGTAAAGGTACAGTAAAATTAAGCAAGAACACTGTAGGGTTTAGTAGCTTAACAAAAACGTTCTTCCTAATACTTCAGTCTGTACAGAAACTGCTGGTGACATTTGCATCTAATCAAGATCTCTTTCAGAATTAAGATAACCAAAACAATAACTTCCTCTGAGACTCATTGTGGTGGCTTTCATAAAAAGGTGGTCCAAATTGTGTTAACATTGCACAAAGCTGCCAGTGGTTTGGGTATGTGGTATCCTGTTAATTACAGGATGTTACTTAAAACACCTTGGTTGATCACTTCCTCATAGTGGGACAGTAAGTGCTACAAAAGAAACACTCCACACTCATATTTGTCATGAGAAAGGCATTTCACTTCACACTTGAGGGTACTGTACTGTTAATATGATTTTTGAGAGGCATTGTTATTAAATGTATTTGTATTTGATTAATAATTTTAAATATTAATAAACATATATTGTATCTTTAAGATCATTGTACTTTATATATGTGCATATATTCAAAGTATGACTTCGTTTTGCATTAATTGCCAAGACTTGAGAATGGATTTGCTTCTTTTCCACAAGAAACTAAGCTGCTCTTTCACCAGCTTAGGAATTATAAATGGTAATGACAGTGAGGAGTGTTGAGAGAGTTTTTAGAAAGAAGTGAGGTAAATAAAATTAGCAATACAAAAGGCAAGTTATACTTAAGGATTAATACAAAGAAGAAGCAGGAATCTCAGCTATTGGGAACAATTGAGGGAAGTAAGACATATATACCAGTAGGTCACAGGTTGATTTGAAAATAAGCATGTAATATTGACATGAAAAAAGCAAGTGCAGTTATTCCAATAAGAAACGCTAAGTATTCAAGCTCTAATATGAAACCCTTATGAGATATCATTTGTAACACTTGTGTTTTACCTGCCTATGTCCGAGAAAGATAAAGTGAAAACAAAGTGTGTTCTGAAAGGTGACTGATGGTTGTAGAAAGGGAGAGGGACCCTTTTGAGAATACTCTAGAAGAGCTTGTTTCCTATCTGTAAACTTAGAACTAGGCTTTGGTTTCTGGGGGTGTGTGGTGGGGTATTTTAAGACAGAGAAAAGGTGCCAAAGTTAATTTTGTTCCTTCCCTGAGACTTTTCTGCTTGAATTAAATGATGCAGAAAGCCTAAATGGCACCAGGATTAAGATCAGAAACCAGAAGGATCTCGAACAATTAGAGAGCCTTTCCACATTCAGTAGCTGGAGGTGTCATAACCTAAATGCTTTCAGAAATAGAGCTCTGTAACTTAGGTACTGTTTCTATTGGTGGTAGGAGAATGGACTGTAACATGAGCTCTAGTTCGCATTTCTGTGTTATCTGGTGGCATCTGAAGTAGACTTGGCCCTAAATTTTGTAGTGCTAGCAGTTTAGAGTAGCAATAACTTTTCAAAGTCTGAAATGAAATCTCAGTAATTGAGAAAGGATATTGAGATCCTGAAACTGTTGAAAAACTTCATTGCCTCATTAAGGTTATCATATGAGGGAAACAAGGCCTTGATCTAAATGTGAGCACAGCTCACAGTCATGAGCAAAAGTAGATGAGGAATAATCTTGTGGAGCATCTGGAAGCCCCTTTGGTCTATCAGTATTTTCACATGTTCTGTGTCAGTATACTTGAGTTCAATGTATCTTTTTATCCATTTAGCTCAATAATACTGATGTTGATGCTTCCATAAAATAAGCTTTGACTCTTGCTGTATTCTGCCAAGTACAGTACTCTCTGCATATTGGAACTAGTCCGAGGTAACATTAGTTACTGTTGTTAGTTGTGCCAGACTCAAATTGAAAACTGTTACACCTACTGTTTTGTTTTACTTTGCAAAAAATGCTTATCATTCGATTCCAGTCAGTAACTAGCTGAGCAGCAGTGAAGTGTAGGAGTTGTACGCATTTTTCTTTTCTGTGTTGATACAGAGACAGCTAGCATCTGCCTTACCTTAATTTAATCAAAATTTTTATTTTGTTCCATAGAGATTTTCGGTCAGCACAAAAGACTTTACAGAGCAGTGGACAATATTCTTCTGAGACACCTTTCTTCGTGCCAGTCCCCAAACCAGCCAGTAGCAGTCGACAGCCTAAAAACAAAGTACATGGTGATCGTTCGTCAACATGGCTTCCACTGGAAACAAACATACAGGCTTGTCTAGCAATTCCACCACAGAGATCTGCCTCAGAAACAGTACAGCTAAGAGAAGCCCTGATAAAAATTTTTCCTGATTATGAGCAAAGACAGAAGATTGATCAAATATTAGCTGATCATCCTTTCATGAGAGATCTTAATGCACTGTCTGCCATGGTGCTTGACTGAATATTATACAGGAGTTTTATATCACAACTGATCTGACTAACTTTGAATATCAATGTGAAGAAACATGTTGCTCTGTTATGTTACTTTGTGAATATTCAGAACCTAATTTTATTTGTATAAACAAAGACTTTTTTGTGTATGTTCTATTGCTAATAGATGCCAGTTTTTGGTAAATTAAAAACTGCTGCTACTACAGATTTGTAGTAATATTTTCTATGAAAAAAATCTTCTGCTTCACTTGAATTGCTTATTAAAGCAGTAGCAGTTCTAAAGAACTGTTATCACTTTAAATAATGTTAGCACTTTTTAAAAAACCCTTTCCTCAGAAGAGAAAAATCATGTCAGAGGCTTAAAAGTGACTCTTACAGCTTCAGATGTATTTTCCAGATGCACGCATAACATACTATAACATAAGCCATGCACTTGTCAGATATCATTGGTGGTGTTTGTATCTAAAGTATAAATATTCTTAGAAAACCTATGCTGTAGTAGTACCTCCTTTGCTTATGAACTTTGAAATATTTCTCCAAGGAAATAAAACAAACCCTTTTAATATTTTCAGATGCAAAGACTTTAAGTAGTGTATATGTGAACCTGCTTTCCTTAAGCCTGCATTGTGGATTTTGGAAATAGGTAATACTCCTAAGGGTTTATGGACAGCAGTTTGAAGATCCCTGTATGGGAGCAGTGGATGTTCGGTGTATTGTTGAAGTATCATCACAAGATGGCGTTACGCACCCGTTGCTTTATAATGATCAACAGGAAGGCTTCTGACATTCCGAAGTACTTGCTTTTATATAAAGAAAGATTAAATGCAAGACAGATAACAGTAACTGTAAGAGTGTTATGGAGAAAATTGTATATTATGTGAATAACTTGTGGATACTAAGCAGCCTTCTGGTATTACAGGCAGCTAAGAAACTTTGTATATATAGATAAAATCTTAGTGCCCATGGAACAAAAACCAAGAAAATCCATTTGCCTGTTCATCCAGGTTGAGAGACACTATGCTAGAGTAGTTAGGAGAGGGAAGGTTTCAATTAGAGAGTGTAAATTCAGAACTCTCCTCAACAGAAGATACTTGTAATGCTTTGAAAGATCTGTGATGCCTACATTGTTTTTTAAATTGGAAATTCTTCTAACTGTCAGTACTCCTTCAGAATAATTTTCGTATCTTTAACAATCTGTGCTGTTACCTGTTTGCCCTGCCTGTTCTCAGTTTGAATGCCATGATAAGCTATTAACAGAATGTGATGCTGTTTATATAGAAATGGCATGCTGTCTTGTGCGGAGCTAATATGCTGCAGTTAGCAGCTCCGCCCCTTTAAATCTGTTCTGGGATCTATCCCAAAAGTAACATGGAAAAAAAGGAACATAATTTATGAAAGCTGACCAATAGGACCATTTTCAAGAGCAGGAGGAAGGTGAAGATTAGTGTGTGTCTGTGTCTCTGTATACACTTAAGTCTGTTACACCTTCCTTTTAACTAGTTTCTTTCGCGAAGTGTTCTCATTATTAAAATAAAATTAGACTATAAAGAAAATGTAGGCTACAGAGCCCACGTTAAACTTCTGACATACTGAGCCTTACCCTAAAGCACAAGAATAGCAGCTTTCTCTTCAGCAGG